TAATGGTTAGTACTTACTTCCACTACTCGTGAGTTGTCCAGGTATGCTGAGATAGTCTTTTACGCCTAATTCAGCACTCTCATGATAAACTGCGCATCGCGAACTGCGGCAATGAACGGTTGTTACAGCAAAACGAATGAAAAGGGAAAAGCTTGACCAGTGGACCGACGAGTCTGCAGTCCATGTATTTTGCATAGCTAGGAGTCTAAACAAAGGCAAAAAGGCGGGAAAACTTCCCGGGTGTTCAACAATATTGACAAGATCGCAATCCATCCTCTTCCATGCAGGATCAAACCCGTGAAATGCTCTTTTCTCTAGGGAGCACTACAAGGAGGGGTTACTCGCTGCTATTCAAAGACGAATAGTGGTACATTAGGTGTCTATTGGGTAGCTTCATAGGTCCGCGTTCATACTTTGCGTCAGCGCCCATCGGCGACCATCCACCAGTCTTCTGAGCGTACGGAGGCGCCAGCGACTAGAAACGTATGATTATCGGTCTAGCGAACGCCAGCATTCACCAGCGTCCGCCAGCGTTCACCATCCTGCACGACGGTGGACAATGGTAGACGCCTACATTGACTAGATCGATCTATACTTTCCTAGCGCAGGCGCTGACGGACGCCTAAAACACCGGTGGACGCCGACGCAAAGTATGAACGCAAGCTAAGAACAGTATAAAGATTTCTGTCATCCTTGGCCACAATTTAGTGACTTCATAATAGACTCTTACACTAACAACTGCTTACTTTGTCAGCCCAGCCGTTGTCCTGGAGTTTTGTGAGTATTTCTCTTCTTTTCATTGCAGGTAGAATCCAGTTTAAAGGCCACTTGTAGACAGAACCGTAGCGATATCGCGTGAAGCTGGCTATACGTCTCATCGTGTTTCCACGTAATGTACAGCTAAAAAAATTTAGAGTCACCGTTAATTCAACAAGTAACAATTTAGTGACCACAACATTGAAGTATTACAAAAAGAAGAGCAAAGGATGACTCTTACTTCAACGTTGCGAAGCAAAACGTCCATCAGTGACATGTGTGCGCGCATTTCTGCAACCTGGGTGTCGCTTAAGTGAGCGCATAATTTGATTCCCTGATATGAATATAAACAGTGACAGGGATCGTCAACAAAACGTATCCAACAAACAGCTTGCTTGCAACAAACCACTATAGCCGGCTGAATTTCAGAGAACCAATGATTCGCGAAGCTTTTTAGGAAGGGGTACCTTCCCTAAAAATGCTAAGAGAATTTAACATCAACCTGAGCCGCCAAAAAAAAGAAAAAAACAGAATTTCAGATATGTAACCTGAGGGAATACGAAATTCGGCGTTCGGTCGTTGTCTGACGGAGTAGCTCAGATGCGCTATCCGAAGAAAAGCCTGTGCTGCTAGGCATTCTGCGTATTCGTACAAGAGCGCCTGGTCATCTGAACAGAGGAAATCATTGACAACCGCGTTTGTGTAGTTCAAAACTTGAGCTGCAATGCAATACAAGTACGTCGAATCGACCAATATCTACGTCATTGATGAGCTGGATTCATAACAGCACTTTCAAACTTCGTTACGATAGCGATCGCGCAAATGCGATCGAGCGCGACCCTGGGCACCCCTAACCACAGTGAGAACTGAAACCGCTGCAATAATCCGGAAAGGAAGTCTCTACCAAGAATTTCAACTTGAAGTTACGCGAACTCGAATGCCGAAATGAACAGAAGCAGCGGGCGGACGACCAGTGGCGAAAGGCATTTCGTCTTAGCGCGCAATTCCCAATTCCCGCTGAAGTTACGAAGTATGAACGCGGTCTTGGCGTTACGAAGTATGAACGCGGTCTTGGCGGTCTCATAAGCAAAGCAAAGCATTCAATATGGGAGAAGGTTCGCTCTTCCCTTCCAAATCAGCATGTCAGCCCAAGTCAGTGTACCGTTTCTAGCGCCTTGTAATTTCAACAAATGGTTTTGCACACATTGCATTTTTTTCGCAAAAACTTGTTGGTAACCTCGTTCTGATAAGCCTCGGGGAAATGTACTCAGGAAAATGGAATGTTTGGTGGCATGCCGTCGAGTCTGTCCCGTCTACCCGGTCACTTAGAACCAAACAAGATTCTCAACATTTCAGTCGAAAGAGCAAAGTAGTATTCAAAAAATCGCTACGAATACTTGAAAAAAAACTGGACTTTCTAGCAAAACTGAAACAAGTGAAAAATACCCACTGAGGAATGGTGTGTAGAGAAACACATCGTCCCAATCTTGAGAAGCATCCAACGCTAACGAGTTGGAGACTATCTCAGTCAACAGCCCTGTCATCCAGGTATCTTCAAAAACGTTTGCATGTCGACAAGAGCAAAAATTGTACACATTACATTATGAGATATCAAAAAAATAAAATACTCTGGTAGCAGCACCTAAAAAAATTTCGCTCAAAGGATCAACAAAAATTTATTTGAATTCAGCAGAATTTAACAATTAACAACAAAAACAATAACGATGTGTCGTATAATAACAGAAAAACATGGCAATGTCAGACGACAAAGTCTTTCTTTTCCTTTCTCCAAGGCTGAGCATTATTTGCTTTCAGTTTTTCTTTAATCACATGATACCTGGATTTCTTCCGGTAGGCAAAACCACTGACCTTCGGCTTCTTATCTGAATAGAGAAAAAAATCATCAGTACGGTGCGCCCTATGTAAGCGCCGACCTCAATCGTACAAGAAGGTTCCTACTAAGCCAGAGATAGGCACCAACCTTTTGCGATAGCATTTGTAGCAACGAGCTCTTTCTTAAGGTGCGCAAGTGCTTTTTCATAGCGACCTAGATGATTTTCGTACACATTCCGTTCAACGACCTCTTCTTCGGCATTCACCCAGAGCCCATTTTTGCGGAGCACATTCTTCACGAAAATCTTTCGCTGGAAGATAAATATTGAAAAAGGACTTCTTTGGAGGAAAACTAATTGGCAATCATTACTGCACAACGATTCAGGGAATGATAAGCGTACTTCTTCTCCGTCGCCTAGGCTTAAAACGTGTCCAAGCCGTCCTGCTCGCCCCGTTCTCCCAGCACGATGAACAAACAAGCGGTCATTCTTCGGAAGTTCGTAATTCACAACACAATCAATGCCCTCGACATCAACTCCTCGAGATAAGACATCCGAGCAAATCAACACACGTGTCTGAAAGTTTGCTTACTCTACTACTGCAAAACAACTCAAAAGTTCCTCAAAAAAGTCGAGTAGTATGGGGCGCGGGACAACTGCTACATAGGAGCAAACGTTACTTTATGAAACGAATTATTAATAGCCAAAGAAGGGCTGCAGTTGTTCAGAAGGAATTATAAGCTCAGCGAGGGTTCGGTCCAAAAGTATAGGCCTTCCACCCATTACCTTACAGAGGAATTGTTTTGAACTTCCCATGGAAACTTTGAATGGAGACTTAGGAACATCGATAGAGCCTCGAATGCTGATTACGAATATGCAGATTAAAAGTGCTACGGGGACCTCCCAGACGAGATCTGGCGCGAGGATCAGAGTTTGAGTTCTCTGGCTGGGGGAGGGGAGGCGTAACCTTGCTGGATCCATGCCTCGGCATGAAACCGTGCCGTCTGTGTAATGGTGTCGCTTTAAGTCAAGACCGAGCTGTGGTTTACATCCGGTTGGCGCGAAAATTTTTGCTTCGCTCCGTATAAGAGCTTCAACTCTAATTTTCGAAATTCTTCCGAATTTACGGCCCAGCAGGGCAAGTAGATCAAGTACATCAAGTATATGACGTACTCGATCTAGTATGTGATTTGGTCATTATCTGTTCCTTCTGAGCAATTATTACCACCGACAATTTAAGTGTTTGCCCGCAGAATCGAATTGGCCATGACGGCTGTTTTTTTGTCGGATCGAAGGATTGTTGATTCCGTGTTGCAGGGGGTCGAATCTCTCATGAACGAATTTTCTGCGCATAAAACTTTGAAGTTGTCGGAATAGGGTAATAGTTCAGAGGAGGCAGATATCGCACCACATCCATACTAGATCGAGTACGTGTCGTATACTTGATGTACTTGATCTACTTGCCCTGCTGGGCCGTAAATTCGGAAGAATTTCGAAAATTAGAGTTGAAGCTCTTATACGGAGCGAAGCAAAAATTTTCGCGCCAACCGGATGCAAACCCGCATGCGTTTGACTTGAAAGCGAGACCATTACCACGAGGCATCGATCAGCAGCGCTTACGAGCCAGAACTCAAACTTTGACCACCCAGATCTCGTCTGGGAGGTCCCCGTAGCACTTTTAATCTGCATATTCGTAATCAGCATTCGAGGCTCTATCGATGTACCTAGGTCTCCATTCAAAGTTCCATGGGAAGTTCAAACCATTCCCTTGTTAGTGATTCGTTCTCGCTTTCTGAGTGGAAGCTCAGTTTTCAGTTTCCAGGAGGAGAACTGAGCAATCAAAAGTAAGCAGCGCAGTCGCTTTGCTTAGGCGAAATATTCTATTATCGGATCTCCTGCAACTCAGCAAATATTGCATAAGATCAAAATTAGTACAGTGAACTAAAAGAGGATGGAATAGGGTAGGAAGACCTGATCAAAAATAGATGAGGATTTTTTAATCGTGGAATTGAGGGATACGGTTCCGCTATATGTGAGCAGTAATATTTTGTGTAGTCTTCGATGCCACTGTTAACATTGAAGAGCCACAAACGAAATAAAAGAGAGAATTCTGCAAACCGAAAAGGAATGACTGACCGTGCCGGTTTTGAAACGCCTCAAAACTTTGATCCTTCGATTGCCATACAAGTCACCAGTGAGTTGCTCAACTTTGAATTTAGACCGAGCGAGACGAGAAATCAGTATAGCAAGCCGTTGAGATGACTCTCTGAACAACAGCGTAAACTTAGTTGCTCATACTTCCAAGACACTAATTAGTTTCCTCGGGATGGTAGATTGGTAGCAGGTTTGTCTAAGAGGAGGAGAAGACTGTTTTCTACATGTTGGCTCCGCAACTCATTGTATAGGCC